AATTGAGTCCTTCAGAAGGACTTGTATAATCGAATAGCCATTGGTTAACAGCGGGATATGACCCAGAAGGACCAGCCTTGGCAATAAAGAGCTACTGACAGCTCAGTGCTAATCAGCTTGCTCCACAGTCGCCCATTAGATTGATTTAGAAGGGAAGTATATTTAGGCTCCATTCATGTTATTTATTTGCTTTAGGAACATAACGTACACTCACTCCATCTAGGAATTGGTGCATTAATTTGTTAATTGGAAGTGGTTTTCAAAGAGTAGGCTGTAGTACTATGTAGTACAGTGAGCTCCAAAAGTATTGGGACAGGGATTTTTGTGTTTGTTTTGGATCTGTACTCCAGCACTTTGAAGTTATACAATTACTATGATGTTAAAGTGCAGACTGTCATCTTTAATTTGAGTGTATTTTGTGTTTCAGATTATTTTGTGTTCAATAGAAATGAATGGTAAATTATGTATTGTGTAATTTTGGAGTCGCTTTTTTTTTTTTTTTTAAATGTAGTATGTTTCTAAACACTTCTACATTAATGTGGATGCTACCATGATTACAGATAGTCCTGAATTAATCGTGAATAATGATGAGTGAGTAAGTTACAGACGCACAAATATCATACCCCCAAGACATGCTAACCTCTCACCATTACAATAACAGGGGAGGTTACCAATTTTTGTGGGGTATGCCTGTGTAACTTTCTCACTCATCATTATTTACGATTCATTCAGGACTAACCATAATCATGGTAACATCCACATGAATGTAGCAGTGTTTAGAAACATATTCAAAAATAAAAGTGACTCCAAAATGACACAATACATTATTTACCATTAATTTCTATTGGACACAAAATAATCTGAAACACAACCAAAACAAACAGCAAATGCATCCAACAAATTTGTAGAGTCAGAAGCTTGATGTATTCATTGTGTGCTAGGAATATGGTAACAAATACTTACATTTTTACTACTTTAATACACATTTAAGGGAATTTGTCCCAATACCTGACAATCTTCACTTGTAGCATTTCAAATCCAAGGTGCTGGAGTACAGAGCTCACAGGACAGTATATGTATTGTGCTGTATGTTTATAGAGCTCCTTCATTTAGCAAACACAATCTCAAATGGAGAGAGAGCGAGAAATACGGAGAGAGTATAAGGCGAGGGAGGGAGGGAGGGAGGGAGGGAGGGAGGGAGAGAGAGAAGTGTTTAGGGAATATCAGTAACTCTTAAGAGTGCTTTCAGTCAGTGTTTTCCATTTCCTGTGTAAAGTGCACCACTGTCTGGGAGGAGCTGGGTGGAGTAATAACAGGCTATATACAATTGACAGGTCAATCTACACCTCGCTGCTATACATTCCTCTATCTAAGCCTGTAAAGCCTCACTCACTCTATAGCTATACATTACACACACATTACATCATGCTACATTCACACACCTGTATCTAAATCTGCCCCATATTCCTCTCTGCTATACATTTAAGTGATAATGCCCGAGAAGCCAGTGTTTTGAAGGATATATTGGCAGGTGTTATTAGGCCCGAGACGGCTTCGAGGGCATTATCACTTTTATACAACGGGTTAGCAACATATTCAAATAATGATTGACATATTTTCATTAAAAACGTTAATTTTATGAATTTATTCATACTATTTCATCCTTCCACAAGATATAGCCCCGACACAAATCTAGGGTTGCTACCCAAGCCGGCTGGTCGTTCGTTCTATCGGTTCGGTTCCCAGAGATGCGACCCAGTCGTTCAGTCTTTTTGTTCTGTATCTATCATACTGGCTGGCAATGTTCTTATCTTTTGCTTGCTAGCTAGCCAACTACGGACCCTTGTGAAGGGGGTTTAAAATGGGGAATGGTTTTATGGTCACGCGTTGGAAGCAATGGCTGTAAAAGGGGAAGTAGGGAGAAGGGTTTTGCGGTTGATTGTAAAAATGATGAAAAATCCAGAGCGTGCATTAGCACTGCTGTTAGGCTAAAAGCAGAAGCGCCCGACCCAACCCTCAACTCCAATGATGTCATACACAAACAACCAATGGGATGCATCCTTCTCTAGCTTGACAGAGTACACAGTATATAATCAAGTTGCCCCTAAATGCTGATCCCAGGTCAGTTTTGTGTATTAAGGCCCCATGGTTAATTTTAGAATGTGAGGGAAGGTAAGCTGATCCTAGATCGGTGTCCGAGGGCCACTGCTACCTGGACCTTACCTTGACAGGAAGCAAATGGATCCATGTCTGCATGTCCATACTAAGGCATTAGTGTGAGTTATGGTATAGCTACTGACGGTCTATCATTGACTCTCAGAGCAAGGAGAATGGCTTAGGTCTATTAGGAAAGAACATTAGCCACACTTGGGTGCCCAAATGCATTATGTCTTTACCACTGTGGGGTATAGTGTAGTTAGCTGGGAATCTATCACTCATCTGGTCATGCTGCTGTTGTGCAAAATGATCTAAAATACTGAAATGCAAAGGGAACTTCTTCTGCACACTTACTGTGGTGTGTCAGTGAATATTTTCAGTTTATTGTGGATTCACTGTGGATGAAATCCCTTAACAGTAGGCTAACTGTTTTCTTCAACAGCTACTGTAGCTGGTCTGCATCCAAATGGCACCCTATTCCCTACATAGTGCACTACATTTGACCAGAGCCCTATAGGGTGCCATTTGGGACGCAGATGTCTCTGCCCCTCTCATTAAATTATGGAATATTCCTCTAGGTCACATGTGCACAGGCACTTAAGAGACTGCTGGTAAAACCTCTGGATGCCTGATGTCAGTCTGTAATCCTCACATAGAGCACAGGGATAGGCTGAATAATTCAACAATATGAGGCTGTGGTTCTCCTATAATTAACCCTTAGACTCCTGAGAGGGTGGTGGAGTACAGTATCTCATAAGTGTTCCTAGTGTGGTTGTTGATGTAGTGGTTGGAGGGAAGGGGGAGACAATGTGACCTGACTGAAAGATTCATGTTAGTGTGAAAGATGGAAGGATAGGAGGAAAGGAAAACAAATACATTAAAATGTGATAATCCTTCTCATCCCTCCTGCCCTCCACCCCTCCCTCTGTTCCTCCATCCCTCCAGACACATCTCAGAATACCATCCATACATGATAGGATACCATCATATCACACACACGCACGCGATATAAAGACACAGGCATGATGCACCGAGGAGGAGACTAGGGAGGAAGCAAAACAGAGATACAGAGGGATCTTCATCTCACTATCAGTTAAACCAGTTGTGTTCGAGCTGGGCTAGAACAAAAGCTAGCCACCCATCCCTACTCCCCTCCCAGCCTCCCAGCCTATCTCCTGTTCTATTCCTGGTCCTGTCCACCCAACCCAAGGTTATCTTCCAGAGAGGGTATACTTCAAAAGGCCTGTGTTGTACTGTGGTGGGGTTCCTTCTTCAAAGAGCACTGAGTCTCCCACGTCTGCAGCCCTCCAGGGCCCTGGATTGATTAGTGTCTGTTTAAGGCTGCTGAGCCATGTGCTGCTAACTCTTAGCTAGCTAACTCTCTAACTCAGCTAATCAGGACACAGTGAGAGGGGCATACAAACAGGGCATGCAGTAAGGATAAGGTGTATTATGCTGATATTCTGATTGGTTCTGAGGCTCATGCACAGTGTTTGATGCGAGTGAACCTGCAAAAACACCTCATATGATAGCTAGGTCATTTATTCATGGCCTGTGTTGCGTGATTACCTGTTGATTTCTGGGGGTTTGATGATAGGGAGGACACTGTACATACTGATGGAGCATTGAGACACTGCTATGTAGAGTTGTTAGCCTACTGTCAGTGGGAATACAGGCCTGTCGTGGTGGGGGAGGGGGGGGGCTCCAGCTGTTTCTCATTAGAGACCCCCCTACAGAGACGGAGATGGATACAGTACATAACACGAAGGCCACTATGTGTGTGCATGTATGCGAGACGCGTGCACGCATATATACAGGTAACTGCCAAAATAATGGAAACGCCAACATAAAGTTTCTTAATAGGGCATTGGGCCACCATGAGCCAGAACAGCTTCAATGCACCTTGGCATAGATTCTACAAGTGTTTGGAACTCTATTGGAGGGATGCGACACCTTTCTTCCATGAGAAATTCCATAATTTCTCGTGGAAATTATGCATGACCCAAAGCATGATGGGATGTTAATTGCTTAATTAACTCAGCATCTGCTTTCTATATACTTTGTATCCCTCATTTACTCAAGTGTTTCCTTTATTTTGGCAGTTACCGTGCAATGTCTACAGAATGAATTGTCCTTGAATCCCGACACCACTCCACTCCCCTCCCTCCAGCCCACCTCCTGTTGCCCAGAGGGGGGTTCAGCTATAGTCTTAATACTCCAGTCCAGAGGTCCTGCACTGTCACTGTGTCATCGACCGACCAGGCAGAAAAAAGTCAATTAACTAACAGTGATATGTCCTTCATATCGATCGAACTGGGCCCCATGCTGTGAGTTTAGTGTGGGGTCACTAGGATATGACAGCTGTGGTCACCAACCCTTGTCCTGGGAGAGCTATAGGAGGTGCAGGTATTTGTTCCAGCCCAGCACCCTGATTCAAGCATTCCATAATTATCAAGACCTTAGTTACAGTAGTTGAATCAGGTGTGTTTTAGAGCTGGGCTGGAATGAAGTCCTGCACTGTACATACTAGGTGGTAGAAGAGGGGGCTGTGTATCTAACAGGAGTGTGTGTGTGTGTCCAGGGCTGTAGACCAGTGTTTCTCTTCACAGGTGATGTTACACTCTGCTGGTCTGTATTAGTCTGGCACGGATCAGATGGCTCCTGACAGATCCAAGATGGCATGAAATGGAGAGTTTAACAGGGTGTCACTGTGCCAGAGCATGGCCCTGTGTGAGCTCAAAGAGCTGCTAATGATGACATCACCCCTGTGAATGAGTGTGCCAGCTGAGCCCGTCTGAGGGAGAGGGTACGGTGAAAGGGTACTGTATGTCGCTTCTAAGCAGAAAGAAAGAGAACCGGAGAGGGAAGAGGGGGAGAGAGGAGAGACAGGGCAGTATGGTGAATCCGTCTATTGTCTTGGGAAAGGGCTGTCTGTGAGAATGAGTGCAGAATACTGATGTGTGTATGTGTGTGTCCACTTGGGTAGCATAGATCAAATAGTGTTAATTCGACCCCTTTGGTTGATGTGTGTTGTTCGGTCTGTTGATACCTCAGCAGAAAGCTCTGTGAATCCTTGGTACTGGCAGTCCACAACACTGGCTAGCTCTACAGGGAGGGACCGTGTGTGAAACTCAGAGGTACTGCCCATTAGTATTCTGTTAGAGTAGATGTCTAAAGACACAAAGGAGAGATGAAGAGAAATGGAAGAGAGAGGAAGAAAGAGGCAAATACAGTGCATTCGGAAAATATTCAGACCCCTTTACTTTTTCCACATTTTGTGACGTTACAGCCTTATTCTAAAATGGATTAAATTATTATTTTTCCTCATCAATCTACACACAGTACCCCATACTGACAAAGCTAAAAAAAGGTTTTTAGAAATGTTTGCACATTTATAAAAATAAACACCTTATTTACATAAGTATTCAGACCCTTTCCTATGAGACTCAAAATTGAGCTCAGGTGCATCCTGTTTCCATGGATCATCCTTGAGATGTTTCTACAACTTGATTGGAGTCCACCTGTGGTAAATTGAATTGATTGGACATAATTTGGAAAGGCATGTCTATATAAGGTCCCACAGTTGACAGTGCATGTCAGAGCAAATACCAATCCATGAGGTTGAAGGAATTGTCCGTAGAGCTCCGAGACAGGATTGTGTCAAGGCACAGATCTGGAGAAGGGTACCAAAACATTTCTGCAGCATTGAAGGTCCCCAAGAACACAGTGGCCTCCATCATTCTTAAATGGAAGAAGTTTGGATCCACCTAGACTCTTCCTAGAGCTGGCCACCCGGCCAAACTGAACAATCAGGGGAGAAGAGCCTTGGTCAGGGAGGTGACCAAGAACCCGATGGTCACTCTGACAGAGCTCCAGAGTTCCTCTGTGGAGATGGGAGAATCCATCTCTGCAGCACTCCACCAATCAGGCCTTTATGTTAGTGGCCAGACGGATGCCACCCCTCATTAAAAGGCACATGACAGCCTGCTTGGAGTTTGCCAAAAGGCACCTAAAGACTCTCAGACCATGAGAAACAAGATTCTCTGGTCTGATGAAACCCAGATTGAACTCTTTGGCCCGAATGCCAAGCATCACGTCTGGAGGAAACCTGGCACCATCTCTACAGTGAAGCATGGTGGTGGCAGCATTATGCTCTGGGGATGTTTTTCAGGGAAAAATGAACGGAGCAAAGTACAGAGAGATCCTTGATGAAAACCTGCTCCAGAGCGCTCAGGACCTCAGACTGGGGTGAAGGTTCACCGTCCAACAGGACAACGAACCTAAGCACACAGCCAAGACAACACAGGCTTCATGACAAATCTCTGAATGTCCTTGAGTGGCCCAACCAGAGCCCGGACTTGAACCCGATGGAACATCTCTGGAGAGACCTGAAAATAGTTGTACAGCGACGCTCCCCATCAAACCTGACAGAGCTTGAGAGGATCTGCAGAGAAGAATGGGAGAAACCTCCCAAATACAGGTGTGCCAAGCTTGTAGCATCATACCCAAGAAGACTAGAGGCTGTAATCGCTGCCAAATGTGCTTCAACAAAGTACTGAGTAAAGGGTCTGAATACTTATGTAAATGTGATATTTTAGTTATTTATTTTAAATATATTTTCTTAAATTAATAAAAACCAGTTTTTGCTTTGTCATTATGGGGTATTGTGTGTAGATTGAGTTTTTTCTTTTTTTTTAATCAATTTTAGAATAAGGCTGTAATGTAACAAAATGTGGAAAAAGTCAAGGGGTCTGAATGCACTGTACATATTGAGAGGGAAAAAGACAAGTGATAGAAAGAGACGGTAAAACAGGCAAAGTGCAAGAAACAATTTCAAAATGCTAATATTTCTCCCATTCTTCTCTGTCAGGCTGGCCGTGAGAGATCGAAAGAGAGAGGTTGGGAGAATGTAAAATATTCTGTGATTTTTAGTAATCAAAAAAGCTACTTTCCCTGCCATCCTCTCTGTCAGACCATGCTATGAGACTATAAAGACTGAGAGGGGCTCTGTCATAGGAGCAGACGCTCTCTTTCTCTCTCTGCCGCCGTCTGGTGGCACCCTCCGCAGGGTTTGGTCTCTTAGTCAGTCTGTGTGGTCTAGTCCCATGTGGCTTAGTTGGTAGAGCATGGCACTAGCAACGCCAGGGTTGTGGGTTCGATTCCCACAGGGGACTTATTCTAAAAAGTATGAAAATATACAGTACCAGTCAAAAGTTTGGACACACCTACTCATTCCAGGGTTTTTCTTTATTTTTACTATTTTCTACATTGTAGAATAATAGTGAAGACATCAAAACTATGAAATAACACAAATAGAATCATGTAGTAACCAAAAAAGTGTTAGACAAATCCAAATATAATTTATATTTGAGATTCTTCAAATAGCCACCCTTTGCCTTGATGACAGATTTGCACACTCTTGGCATTCTCTCAACCAGCTTCATGAGGTAGTCACCTGGAATGCATTTCAATTAACAGGTGTGCCTTCTTAAAAGTTAATTTGTGGAATTTCTTTCCTTCTTAATGCGTTTGAGCCAATCAGTTGTGTTGTGACAAGGTAGGAGGGGGGGTATACAGAAGATAGCCCTATTTGGTAAAAGACCAAGTCCATATTATGGCAAGAACAGCTCAAATAAGCAAAGAGAAACGACAGTCCATCATTACTTTAAGACATCAATAAGGAACATTTCAAGAACTTTTAAAGTTTCTGCGACAGGAATGGATGAGGACTGCGACAGGAATGGAAGACCCAGAGTTAAGTCTGCTGCAGAGGATAAGTTCATTAGAGTTACCAGCCTCAGAAATTGCAGCCCAAATAAATGCTTCACGTAACAGTTCAAGTAACAGACACATCTCAACATCAACTGTTCAGAGGGGACTGTGTGAATCAGGCCTTCATGGTCGAATTGCTGCAAAGAAACCACTACTAAAGGACACCAATAAGAAGAAGAGACCTGCTTTGGCCAAGAAACACGAACAATGGACAGTAGACAGGTGGAAATGTGTCCTTTGGTCTGGAGTCCAAATGTGAGATTTTTTGTTCCAACCGCCATGTCTTTGTGAGACGCGGTGTGGGTGAACGGATGATCTCCGCATGTGTATTTCCCACCGTAAAGCATGGAGGAGGAGGTGTTCTGGTGTGGGGGTGGTTTGCTGGTGACACTGTCTGTGATTTATTTAGAATTCAAGGCACACTTAACCAGCATGGCTACCACAGTATTCTACAGTGATACGCCATCCCATCTGGTTTGGGCTTAGTGGGACTATCATTTGTTTTTCAACATGACATTGACACCTCCAGGCTGTTTAAGGGCTATTTTACCAAGAAGGAGAGTGATGGAGTGCTGCATCAGATGACCTGGCCTCCACAATCCCCTGACCTCAACCCAATTGAGATGGTTTGGGATGAGTCAGACGGCAGAGTGAAGGAAAAGCAGCCAACAAGTGCTCAGCATATGTGGGAACTCCTTCAAGACTGTTGGAAAAGCATTCCAGGTGAAGCTGGTTGAGAGAATGCCAAGCGTGTGCAAAGCTGTCATCAAGGCAAAGGGTGGCTATTTGAAGATTCTCAAATATAAAATATATTTAGATTTTTTTAACACTTTTTTTTGTTTACTACATGATTCCATATGTGTTATTTCATAGTTTTGATGTCTTCACTATTATTCTACAATGTAAAAAATTGTAAAAAAAATAAAGAATAACCCTTGAATGAGTAGGTGTGTCCAAACTTTTGACTGGTAGTGTATGTGTAAAGGATTTCACGCTGCTTGCTTAGCGAGTAACACGTCCTTGCGTTTTGGCCCATACCTGGTGCGAACTCTGGACCTCTGCCTCACAAACACACGTGACCGTCCTCTCTCAAGAGTCTTAGCCGATCACGCCACCTCAAAAGCTATCTAACGAGGCTACGCAAGTGGGATACTTAAGGTTGAGGAGTGGGTTTCACACATCCCCATGTGCTACATATGCATTGGATCAGAGCGTCTAGTCAAATGTATTGACCTCTCTCTTTTGCAGAGTTACATCTCCCTTTGCATGAGGGGGGCCAAGGGCTGGTGGACATTGGGTCCAGTGTGACATCTTTCTGTCTACAAGCTGCACAGAGACTTCTGTACCTGGATAGATGCTGCTTGGGCTGTTCTGAGGAGGGCAGGGGACCTTGGGTACGACAGGAACAGGTCATTATGTCAGCCATTACTCCGTAATACCGCGCTGTGTCTTTCGGCGTGGAAAGAGACGATCTGTTCACAGAGACGTTTACGGCCAGGAGCATGGAAAATGGAGGAGCCACTTTCACAACCCACTTATCCAGATCAGAGTGCTGACCTCTGCCAGCTTGTGAGAGCGGAGTTCACTAAGTTGGGTGACCTGCAAGAAGAGGCTAGGTGAAAACCTGCCAGCGATATGGCTTCCTCTATAAAGTCTACCAGGCTGCTGCACTACCATGCTTGTTCAGAGAGATGCTGGGGATTAAGCAGAGACTGGACCGTCGGGGGAACACCAGGTGGGTGAGGGAATGATCCTATAGTTCAAGACTCCGGAGCTGGGGGCCTTTTGCACGGCCAGCAAAATGGCTCTGTACGCGGTGGCTGTCAACGTGGCTCAGGAAGAGCATCTGCATGGGCTTAGGGCAATGGGGTGGCTGGGGGGTTTGGGACCAGGATCTTCTCTGAGAGGATGTTGGCGCTCCCTGTATAAGCCTTCAATAGCGTACTGTTGATCTACAGTGGAGGATAATTCACGGGGCTATTGCTACGAACAGATACGTGTCGTACCTTGATCCATCAGTGGGGAGGGGGTGTCTGTTCTGTGGGGAGGAGGAGACCGTGCAGCATCCTGTTTTTTTCTTCTTCTTTTTTTTTCTGTCCTGGGTGGGTGGTGTACAGGGCTAGGGTTGGGGCTGACTATGGACCTATACGTTGGAGGGCCTAGGTATAGCGTAGCCAACAGGCGAAGGGACTGCCTAGTAAACTACCTGTTGGGGCAGATAGAAATGGCCGTGTGGAAGACCAGGAAACATGGGGGAGGGTGTGCTGCTGGTGCGGGCTCGGCTCACACTGGAGCATGTATATGGGGGACTGGTGAACCAGCTGGGGGACTTAGTAGGGGTGTGGTGCATCGGGGGGGTTCTATGTACAGTGGATGAGGAGGGGGCTTAGTTTGAACTTTCTAGGTCTGTTAAAATGAAGTAAAGTTTGTGCTTTTCTCCCGAGTGGGGTAGCAGTCTAAGGCACTACAGACCCGAGTTCGATCCCGGGTTGTGTTGCAGCCGGCCGCGACTGGGAGACCCATGAGGCAGCACACAATTGGTTAGGGGAGGGTTTGGCCGGCTGGGATGTCCTTGTCCCATCGCGCTCTAGCGACTCCTGTGGCGGGCCGGGCGCATGCACGCTGACACGGTCGCCAGTTGTACGGCGTTTCCTCCGACACATTGGTGCGGCTGGCTTCCGGGTTAAGCGAGCAGTGTGTCAAGAAGCAGTGCGGCTTGGCAGGGTCGTGTTTCAGAGGACGCATGGCTCTCGACCTTCACCTCTCCCAAGTCTGTACGGGAGTTGCAGCGATGGGACAAGACTGTAACTACCAATTGGGGAGAAAAAGGGGTACAAAATAAATGCATGTGTGCTTTTAATGATGTAACTATTGGGCCAATAAAGGTCTTTATTTGTGTTTTATCTTGCTCTCTATGTTGAGTGGGAGACGGAGATGGGACTAAGGCACTATGTCAGCAGGATGACTCTCTGAAAGTAGGACAAAACATTGTAACAGATTTGTTAGTGATGCCTGGACTATGAGTGAGTATAACTGAAACTGTAGCAAATGTTATAACGACACACACACACACACACACACCTCAGACGCCACAGTCTGTTATTGTCTGTGGTGTTGTTTACTTTCTGCCATATTGGAGATTCTAGGAAACGTCTATGGTTGATCATCAATATATCGAGAGGCTAATATCACTTACATGGTATGTGATGTAATCTGATGTCATCCCCTGCGCTTTCTCTCTCTTCTCTGTCTTGCTCTCTCTCTTTCTCTTTCTCTCTGAGACGAGGACAAACATAAAACAGAGAGAGAGTGTGAGAGAGGACAGAGAAGAGAGAAAGCACAGGGGATGACATCAGATTATGTCTCAGACAGTCTGCCTCTCTGTGGAAACCAATAACAGCCTGCGGGTTTGAACTCCCATGTTTTCAACCGGGCCCACCTTGTAGAGCGGTGAATTGAATAACCAGCAGCTGCAGTTTGATCATTCGATCACTACTGGTACCACCAACCACCCAAATCCACCCCACTACAAGCTATCTTTGGATGAAGACCATAGACTGTGTTTGACTGCTTGACCAGGCATCCCTGAGTGTGTATGTGTCTGTTGGAAAGAGCGCTAAACCCTCCATGTGCTCTTAATACCTCTCTAGACTAGAGCCCTGAACCCTCCATGTGCTCTTAATACCTCTCTAGACTAGAGCCCTAAAGCCTCCATGTGCTCTTAATACCTCTCTAGACTAGAGCCCTAAACCCTCCATGTGCTCTTAATACCTCTCTAGATTAGAGCCCTAAAGCCTCTCTGTGCTTCACTCTCATTAGAGCATCCTAGCAGTACATCTGCTGACTCACCTTCTTCCTGTAAATGATATCATTTATTTATCTTTAGAAGGAGCAGAGAAAGTGTCCTCTCCTCTGAGGGATAAGATACTGAGACAGCTCCTCTCCTCTCCTCTCCTCTCCTCTCCTCTCCTCTCCTCTCCTCTCCTCTCCTCTCCTCTCCTCTCCTCTCCTCTCCTCTCCTCTCCTCTCCTCTCCTCTCCTCTCCTCTCCTCTCACCACTTCCTGACATCAAAAAGCAGGAATTGCTGTCATTGACTCAGGGTGTAACAAACGGAAATGTGCAAACCAGGTGACCAGTTTGTAAGCATTTGTACCGTTAGTGTCGATGTCCGTGGCACTGAAATACTAACAGTCATACTGAAGCTTTAGCCCACTGATGCAGTTCAACATGATCTCTATCCCATGGAATGTCTGTTCGAAACACTGCTCATATAGGCTACCACAAAATGTAGTCAATGTTTCATGTTGGTCAAAAGTGCAGTACACACGGAATACGTAGGGTGTCATTTGAGACACAGCCACACTAGGATGATGTCTGTTCTTGCCAGACAGAGTGTGCCTCAAGAGAGGCTACATATTGGGATTTGCAGCAGATAAAAAGGCTTGGTGGCACCATGGCCTGTTCTGCTCTGCTCTGTAACGCCTCATCTGTCTCTAGTCAAGCAGGGAGAATGTTCTACTCTACCGTCAGAGGAAATTGGATGACCAGTGTTAGGGCATGCATCCCAAATGGCATCCTATTTCCTATATGGAGCCCATAGGGCTCTGGTCAAAAGTAGTGCACTATATAGGGAATAGGATGCCATTTGGGATGCTTCCTCAGCTTCTCTTCTCCACTTAAAGTGAGTGGCTGCGATAAGAGTTGATGCCATTGTAATGACATTGGAGGGGGACATTGTTTCATTTAGGATGACATTTACTCAACCCGTAGAGGTGTATAACGTATGATTTAATGTGGCTTTTACCTTGATGTATGTGGTCATAGTATAAGTTATTCCTCAAGCATGTATATAGGTTTGTATGACCCACCTCTTTGACCATAGATTGGTAGACCAGTTGCTTGCCATGGGTAACATAGGCACTGTATTTCTCTTTACTGTCTACTGTACATGTCTTTTGGAAATCCATATTTTTATTTTATTTTACATTTTACATTTTAGTCATTTAGCAGACTCTCTTATCCAGAGCGACTTACAGTTAGTGAGTGCATACATTATATTTACTGGCCCCCCGTGGGAATCGAACCCACAACCCTGGCGTTGCAAACGCCATGCTCTACCAACTGAGCTACATCCCTGCCGGCCATTCCCTCCCCTACCCTGGACGACGCTGGGCCAATTGTGTGCCGCCCCATGGGTCTCCCGGTCACGGCCAGCTACGACAGAGCCTGGATTCGGGAGACTTTATAAGCTGAAATTACATGTGCTCTCGTTATCAAAGGACACCTTTCATAAAAACGCTAGCGACATCTGACACAGTGTATGATTGTGCGTGCATGCGTGCGTGTGTGTGTTTTGGCAGATGAAGGGCAGTGTTTCATCATCAAACTACAGATGACCTTTAAACCTTCAAATGCTGGAGAAAAGGTCTCGCTCCTTTTCAGTAGCAAACAGCTTCAAAACAGAATATATAGCAGTCATAAACTATACAACATCCAAACATTCCTCAGTATATCCAATAGTTATCATGTTTAATTATGCTGAATCTGTAAGTGTACACAAATACATCTCTGTGCAAAATCATTCCTCTCTCCATTACAGTGTGGACTGAATCGCACCACTGGAGCTGAACTAATAGGGAGTCCCTGCATGGCTGTTTCGGTAGACTGTACTTATTCAGTGGCCCTGTAGGGAATATTACGTTTGTCTTTCCTCTTGTCCTACTTTACGTTAAGTGCACTTAAACCTATGTATTTACATGGTTATTATATTTAGGTTACGTTTAGGTTTCGCACCACATCATTTAAAGTGCTTCCAATCCGAAAAGTGAGTAAAATGTGCTTTGTCATTAATCTGTGTTCTGTTGCTAGAAGCTCAGAGGAGAGCAGGATTCTTTGCCTCTCTCCATCTTTCCATTTTTCTATTTTCCCAGCAGTCTTTGTTTTATCCCTCCTTCCCTTGAGTTCACCGTCGCTCTGCACCTTAAATAGATTTTCCTACTCTATGATGTTCTCCCTCTCAGCCTCTTGCTGAGCTGTGTATTGATTGGTGGAGTTGTGTGTGTGTGTGTGTGTGTGTGTGTGTGTGTGCGTGTTAGGGCTGCACAATTAATCCCCCCCAAAAATGCAATTAGATGTTTTTGCCCATATCATGCATCCCTGCTGTGTTTGTGTGTGCGTGTGTATGTATGCGAGGTGTGCTCCGTCCCTTATTCCAGTCACACTCCAAGGATCAGGGCCTACAATCCTTCAATGATTAGGCCATGGAATTCACATTACCACCAGTCATAGGTTGGCTGTGTAAAGTATGTCTCAACTGGTTTCAGTCTGGCCCTGTGGGGTTTTGTCATGCTGTCTGTAATGCACACCAGACCAGACTAGGTAGCAATTAAAGCTCCTATGATGTGATGCTATGCTACTGAAATGTCATAACGTCTCTCTCTCACCCACTCCCTCCTCTGCCCCTTCCCAGGCATTTGGCCAGACCTTCTCCACCCAGCGTAAGGTGGCTGCGGACGGGGAGACCAACGAGGAGACCCTCCTGCAGGAGTCAGCCACTAAAGAGGCCTACTACATGGGTCGCCTGCTGGGGATCCAGTCAGAGCTCAAACAGAGCCGGGCCGTCACAGTCAACACACAGGCCGACAACGAACACCTCAGTACCCTGCTGCAGGAGCTCAGAGAGGTGAGGAACCAGGGGTTAGAGGTCAGGGGGAGGGGTTTAGAGGAGACTCAGAGCAGTTATTGGCGGTAGTGGGCCCATTATTTGATCTTAAACACAGTTTAGTGTGTGTGGCTTACATATCCCTATCAATGCCAATCAATAATAATATTTAGGATGTCCTAGGCTATAAAGTCCTTTTCACGTCAACATTTGTCACAAAATGCTTTACAGTAAATCCTTGTTGTGTTTGATAGTAAACAGTCCAGTGTTGTTTTGTGATAATAACCTCAGGTCTTGTGTATTTGATAGGACTCCGTGTTGTGTGATAACTAACCCCTGGTGTTTGTGTCTGTCCTGTAGAGTAATGAGATGTTGGAGCTGCAGCGGAGCCGGATGAGAGAGGAGATCAGGGAGTATAAGTTCAGAGAGGCCCGACTCCTACAGGACTATACTGAGCTGGAGGAGGAGAACATCACCCTGCAGAAACTAGTGTCCACACTCAAACAGAACCAGGTGAGAGAACACACACACAGTACATACACACGCATGCGGTTGCACAAACACACACACGATTGTACAGTGGGGGAAAAAAGTATTTAGTCATCCACCAATTGTGCAAGTTCTCCCACTTAAAACGATGAGAGAGGCCTGTAATTTTCATCATAGGTACACGTCAACTATGACAGACAAAATGAGAAAAAAAAATCCAGAAAATCACATTGTAGGATTTTTTAATGAATTTATTTGCAAATTATGGTGGAAAATAAGTATTTGGTCAATAACAAAAGTTTCTCAATACTTTGTTATATACCCTTTGTTGGCAATGACACAGGTCAAACGTTTTCTGTAAGTCTTCACAAGGTTTTCACACACTGTTGCTGGTATTTTGGCCCATTCCTCCATGCAGATCTCCTCTAGAGCAGTGATGTTTTGGGGCTGTCGCTGGGCAACACAGACTTTCAACTCCCTCCAAAGATTTTCTATGGGGTTGAGATCTGGAGACTGGCTAGGCCACTCCAGGACCTTGAAATGCTTCTTACGAAGCCACTCCTTCGTTGCCCGGGAGGTGTGTTTGGGATCATTGTCATGCTGAAAGACCCAGCCACGTTTCATCTTCAATGCCCTTGCTGATGGAAGGAGGTTTTCACTCAAAATCTCACGATACATGGCCCCATTCATTCTTTCCTTTACACGGATCAGTCGTCCTGGTCCCTTTGCAGAAAAACAGCCCCAAAGCATGATGTTTCCACCCCCATGCTTCACAGTAGGTATGGTGTTCTTTGGATGCAACTCAGCATTCTTTGTCCTCCAAACACGACGAGTTGAGTTTTTACCAAAAAGTTCTATTTTGGTTTCATCTGACCATATGACATTCTCCCAATCCTCTTCTTGATCATCCAAATGCACTCTAGCAAACTTCAGACGGGCCTGGACATGTACTGGCTTAAGCAGGGGGACACGTCTGGCACTGCAGGATTTGAGTCCCTGGCGGCGTAGTGTGTTACTGATGGTAGGCTTTGTTACTTTGGTCCCAGCTCTCTGCAGGTCATTCACTAGGTCCCCCCGTGTGGTTCTGGGATTTTTGCTCACCGTTCTTGTGATCATTTTGACCCCACGGGGTGAGATCTTGCGTGGAGCCCCAGATCGAGGGAGATTATCAGTGGTCTTGTATGTCTTCCATTTCCTAATAATTGCTCCCACAGTTGATTTCTTCAAACCAAGCTGCTTACCTATTGCAGATTCAGTCTTCCCAGCCTGGTGCAGGTCTACAATTTTGTTTCTGGTGTCCTTTGACAGCTCTTTGGTCTTGGCCATAGTGGAGTTTGGAGTGTGACTGTTTGAGGTTGTGGACAGGTGTCTTTTATACTGATAACAAGTTCAAACAGGTATCATTAATACAGTTAACGAGTGGAGGACAGAGTAGCCTCTTAAAGAAGAAGTTACAGGTCTGTGAGAGCCAGAAATCTTGCTTGTTTGTAGGTGACCAAATACTTATTTTCCACCATAATTTGCAAATAAATTCATTAAAAATCCTACAATGTGATTTTCTGGATTTTTGTTTTAGATTCCGTCTCTCACAGTTGAAGTGTACCTATGATGAAAATTAGAGGCCTCTCTCATCTTTTTAAGTGGGAGAACTTGCACAATTGGTGGCTGACTAAATACTTTTTTCCCCCATACACACACACACATGCACACACAGACACACTCAAACTTACACATACATGTGGTTACACACACACACAAATGTACGCATACACATGCACACACACAAACACACACACACTCAAACGTACACATACACGCATGCATACACAGACACACTCAAACTTACACACACATGCGGTTGCACACATACACACGCACGCACACACACACACACACACACACAGTGTACCCATCCCTAACACCACATTATGCCTCTCCCTCTACCTTTTACTCCCCTCCTCCCTCCTTCCCTCCCATAGGTGGAGTACGAGGGGTTAAAGCATGAGATCAAGGTTCTGGAGGAGGAGACCGAGCTGCTGAACAGTCAGTTAGAAGACGCCTTACGTCTCAAAGACATCTCCGAGGCCCAGCTAGAGGAGGCCCTGGACTCCCTGAAGAGCGAGCGGGAGCAGAAGAAGCATCTCCGCAAGGAGCTGGTCCACCACCTCAGCCTGTGTGACGTCCAATACACCGGCAGCGCCCACCTCACTTTCACCTCAGCGCCACCTAGTGGCACGGCTACGCCTGTCGCCGCCCTGTCGCCCAGCTCAGAGGAGCCGAGCAGATGTAACGGGCATCTACATGGAGGGTCAGGAACTGGGACGGGGACGGTGGTCGCTGCCCAGGGCCAATGGAGAGTGTGCGGGGAGAGGGGATGGTGTCGGATCTGTTCAGTGAGATGAACCTGACAGAGATACAGAAGCTCAGGCAGCAGCTGCTACAGGTGGGTGGAGAAGTACAGTTCACTCAGTTTGAATAAGTAGAGTGGTTCGGTGGCTCTAGAGTTTGGTGCTCGATTTCTCAGTGTTATACACATGAACAATGACATACAGGAGTATATCAGAACACTGTGGCAAACATGAACATACTCATTATAACTCATGTATGTAAACATAAACAATATTGCAAAGTGCACACATGTACAAACATCTGTACATATGGACACACAGTTTATATCCCCTCACAGCCCCATATTGCATGGTGGCAAAGAGCTGAGCATGCACATAAAAGGTGGAACAATCTCCTTGCACAAACACACACCGATGTACAGTGGGGAAAAAAGTATTAGCACACCATGTGCAAGTTCCCACTAAAACGATGAGAGGCCTGTATTTTCATCATAGGTACACGTCAACTATGACAGACAAAATGAGAAAAAAATCCAGAAAATCACATTGTAGGATTTTTATGAATTTATTTGCAAATTATGGTGGAAAATAAGTATTTGGTCAATAACAAAAGTTTCTCAATACTTTGTTATATACCCTTGTTGGCAATGACACAGGTCAAACGTTTTCTGTAAGTCTTCACAAGGTTTTCACACACTGTTGCTGGTATTTTGGCCCATTCCTCCATGCAGATCTCCTCTAGAGCAGTGATGTTTTGGGGCTGTCGCTGGGCAACACAGACTTTCAACTCCCTCCAAAGATTTTCTATGGGGTTGAGATCTGGAGACTGGCTAGGCCACTCCAGGACCTTGAAATGCTTCTTACGAAGCCACTCCTTCGTTGCCCGGGAGGTGTGTTTGGGATCATTGTCATGCTGAAAGACCCAGCCACGTTTCATCTTCAATGCCCTTGCTGATGGAAGGAGGTTTTCACTCAAAATCTCACGATACATGGCCCCCATTCATTCTTTCCTTTACACGGATCAGTCGTCCTGGTCCCTTTGCAGAAAAACAGCCCCAAAGCATGATGTTTCCACCCCCATGCTTCACAGTAGGTATGGTGTTCTTTGGATGCAACTCAGCATTCTTTGTCCTCCAAACACGACAAGTTGAGTTTTTACCAAAAAGTTCTATTTTGGTTTCATCTGACCATATGACATTCTCCCAATCCTCTTCTTGATCATCCAAATGCACTCTAGCAAACTTCAGACGGGCCTGGACATGTACTGGCTTAAGCAGGGGGACACGTCTGGCACTGCAGGATTTGAGTCCCTGGCGGCGTAGTGTGTTACTGATGGTAGGCTTTGTTACTTTGGTCCCAGCTCTCTGCAGGTCATTCACTAGGTCCCCCCGTGTGGTTCTGGGATTTTTGCTCACCGTTCTTGTGATCATTTTGACCCCACGGGGTGAGATCTTGCGTGGAGCCCCAGATCGAGGGAGATTATCAGTGGTCTTGTATGTCTTCCATTTCCTAATAATTGCTCCCACAGTTGATTTCTTCAAACCAAGCTGCTTACCTATTGCAGATTCAGTCTTCCCAGCCTGGTGCAGGTCTACAATTTTGTTTCTGGTGTCCTTTGACAGCTCTTTGGTCTTGGCCATAGTGGAGTTTGGAGTGTGACTGTTTGAGGTTGTGGACAGGTGTCTTTTATACTGATAACAAGTTCAAACAGGTATCATTAATACAGTTAACGAGTGGAGGACAGAGTAGCCTCTCAAAGAAGAAGTTACAGGTCTGTGAGAGCCAGAAATCTTGCTTGTTTGTAGGTGACCAAATACTTATTTTCCACCATAATTTGCAAATAAATTCATTAAAAATCCTACAATGTGATTTTCAGGATTTTTGTTTTAGATTCCGTCTCTCACAGTTGAAGTGTACCTATGATGAAAATTACAGGCCTCTCTCATCTTTTTAAGTGGGAGAACTTGCACAATTGGTGGCTGACTAAATACTTTTTTCCCCCCATACACACACACACATGCACACACAGACACACTCAAACTTACACATACATGTGGTTACACACACACACAAATGTACGCATACACATGCACACACACAAACACACACACACTCAAACGTACACATACACGCATGCATACACAGACACACTCAAACTTACACACACATGCGGTTGCACACATACACACGCACGCACACACACACACACACACACACACAGTGTACCCATCCCTAACACCACATTATGCCTCTCCCTCTACCTTTTACTCCCCTCCTCCCTCCTTCCCTCCCCTAGGTGGAGTACGAGGGGTTAAAGCATGAGATCAAGGTTCTGGAGGAGGAGACCGAGCTGCTGAACAGTCAGTTAGAAGACGCCTTACGTCTCAAAGACATCTCCGAGGCCCAGCTAGAGGAGGCCCTGGACTCCCTGAAGAGCGAGCGGGAGCAGAAGAAGCATCTCCGCAAGGAGCTGGTCCACCACCTCAGCCTGTGTGACGTCCAATACACCGGCAGTGCCCACCTCACTTTCACCTCAGCGCCACCTAGTGGCACGGCTACGCCTGTCGCCGCCCTGTCGCCCAGCTCAGAGGAGCCGGGCAGGTGTAACGGGCATCTACATGGAGGGTCGGGGACGGGGTCGCTGCCCAGGGCCAATGGAGAGTGTCGGGGAGCGGGGAGGAAAGGAGAGGGGATGGTGTCGGATCTGTTCAGTGAGATGAACCTGACAGAGATACAGAAGCTCAGGCAGCAGCTGCTACAGGTGGGTGGAGAAGTACAGTTCACTCAGTTTGAATAAGTAGAGTGGTTTCGGTGGCTCTAGAGTTTGGTGCTCGGATTTCTCAGTGTTATACACATGTAACAATGACATACAGGAGTATATCAGAACACTGTGGCAAACATGACATACTCATTCTAACTCATGTATGTAAACATAAACAATATTGCAAAGTGCACACATGTACAAATCAATACTGTACATATGGACACACATGTTTATATCCCCTCAGCAGCCCCATATTGCAGATGTGGGAATAAGTGTTGAATTATTCAGAGTGAGAGAGACTGCTGACATAACCTCACTGCATGCAGCTCTCTCTCTCTCTTCCTGTTCTCTCTCTCTCTCTCTCTCGGCCTGCCCCTCCCTTTCTCTGCCTCTTTCAAGACTATAAATAATCAAGTTTATACCAGCAGTCAAATAAAGTGTTGTAGCACCAGTGAGAAGCTGTGGGAACAGCTGTTACTAGACCACTGGCTGTTACATGGACTCTAATCAAAATGTCCGACATTTTGTTTCCCAGTGGGTGTCTCCTCTTCTGTAGTTTCCTCCAGCCCAGTGGGCCAGTGAGATGAAGATGCAGCAGGATGAAGTGTGTGTGGGGTTGATGTGTGTCCAACCATTTACTGCAATCCCTGTAGGTGAAACTGCATCTCCCCACACATTCCCTCAGCCTCTCTCAGATTGGCTGGACTGGATGAAGGGCTTATTTATATCCTCACTGACACACTAGACTATTGATTTGCCCTCAGTAGTGTGCAAGGTTTACTGTTCCCTCTGTATTGTGCAGGGTTTAGGCCCTGCTGAAAGAACTGCATAGACCAGAATGGTCTAGTTGGGTATTCTGGTTTACTAGCATAGTCTAGCTGGATTTGCTGGTGACCAGCCTTAGCTGTGTTTTGGTCACTGGTGACCAGCCTTCGCTGGTGATATTGGTATGCTGGTGACCATGCTGGTCTATGCTGGTCCAGCATGGTCAAGCTGGTCTGACCACGCCCATCATTATCATATTTCCCAGCATGCTCTATTGCAGTTGATTTTTTTAGAATTGTTTCAATATCTTTTTTGGTTGTTGTGTTTTTGCACAATTGATTGATTAATTAATCTTATGCTACACAAAGATAAATAACATACATTTTTCTAAACTAATCCAATCTGTTAATTGGATTTATTGCACCCGTTACTGAAATGGTTGTTCCAGTTTAGATCATTTGGGTAGCCTCATTTATTCTTCTTTCTGATCCTGGCAGTCATTCTGAATGCATGTTGTGGATGGAGAAAAAAAAGTTAGTTGTTGGATACCCCCACTCTGGCTGGATAAACATCACTTTGCAGGCTAGCATAATGTGACTTGATGCTGGTTTTGCTGGTGACCACCTTATGCTGGTCACCGTGTCCAAAACACAGCGAAGGTTGGTCACCAGCAAAAACACAGCGAAAGCTGGTCACCAGCAAAAACACAGCGAAGGCTGGTTACCAGCAAAACACAGCGAAGGCTGGTCACCAGCAAAACACAGCAAAGGCTGGTCACCACTAAAACACAGCGAAGGCGCCACAAAAGCACAATAAAGGCACCACAAAATCAGAGTGAAGGCTGGTCACCAGCAAAACCAACACCTATGCTAGATCAGCCTATGCTGGTCTATGCTGTTTTTTTCAGCAGGGGAGTTGAAGTGGTCTGTGCGGAGTGTGCAGGAAAATTATGCAGCTATTTAAGTTCATGGAGCTGGAGATGATAAGGAAAGCTACTAGTTTAACAATAGGCTGACAATAGCTGTGTGTGTGTCCATAGGTGGAGCGAGAGAAAACTGCGCTGTTGATCAGCCTGCAAGAGTGTCAGACGCAGCTGCAGCATACACAGGGTGCCCTGAACGAGCAGCACGAGAGGGCCCTCCGCCTCAGCGAGAGAGTCACCGCCCTCAGGCGCCTGCACAGGGAGGCTCAGCTTACCCAGGAGGCCCAGCACGACCAGGAGACCCACCTCAACCGAGAGGCCCTGATGGAGCAGGGAGAAGAGGAAGAGGAGGAGAAAGAGAAAGGATTAATACACAGCAGGGGCCAGGCATTCTGCCACCAGACCCCGGGTCTGGAGATCCTGCAGTGTAAATACAGGGTGGCTGTAACCGAGGTGGTCGAGCTAAAGGCTGAGCTGAAGTGTCTGAGAGAGAGGTACAACCAGTGTGTGGAGGGCGGGGTGGAGGAGAGGACGCGGGGAGAGGCCCAGCACAGATCTCTGGAGCAGCAGGTGGGGAGGCTGGAGAGGAGCTGCCGGGAGGGTAGGGAGAGGGTGGGGGGCCTGGAGACAGAGCTGAGAACAGCCAAGAACATGGCCAGCGAGAGCCAGGGGGCGCTCAACGCAGCGCAGGACGAACTGGTCACCTTCAGCGAGGAGCTGGCTCAACTTTACCACCACGTCTGCCTCTGTAACAACGAGACGCCCAACCGGGTGATGCTAGACTACTACAGACACGGCAGAGGACTGAGGGGTATCAGTGCCTCGCTCAAGGGTGACGACACCCGCGTTCTACTCACGCCCCGCCTCGCCCGGCGGCTCGCAGCTGTTGCCGCGGCAACCTCGTCGTCCACGGCGGAGTCTCGTAGCCCCTCGGAATCCCCATCCAAAGAGCGGTTGTCAGGAGAGGGGGGCCGGGACAGGGACAGTCCTGTACCCCGCACCCCTCCTACGGGCTCCCCCAGCATCAGTGCCTCTTCCTCATCTTCATCATCATCGTCACCTGCGGTAGAGCCAGCTGGAGACCTGCGTAGGGAACCTATGAACATCTATAACCTCAACGCCATCATCAGAGAGCAGGTGACTCCGTTTGAATCATTTGAATAAACATGTCAAACTGTGTATTTGTCATACTTAAACAGAATATAATTTCATATATCATTACATCTTTGTTTTCATTGGCAGTTCAAACCTGAAACAGTTTGTTCGCCATGTGATATCTTTAACCTTCCAAATGCTCATCATGAAGCTAACAGACACAGATTTGAGAATATATGACAACATTAGCTAATGTTCGCTAACAATCTCCCTTGATGAACATGCTGTAGGTGAGGCACCTCCAGAGGGCAGTGGACCGGTCACTCCAGCTGTCCAGACAGAGGGCTGCAGCCAGGGAACTGGCCCCACTGTTTGACAAGGACAAAGAGGCCTGTATGGAGGAGATACTGAAGCTCAAGTCCCTGCTCAGCACCAAGAGAGAACAGATAGCTACCCTCAGACTGGTGCTCAAAGCTAACAAACAGGTCAGACATGGATATGGCATCCGAGATATGGATTACTATGAACATGGATTAAGCATCATGCTGGTCATTCGCTGTCTAACACTGCCTTGCTAGAATCTACTTTGAGACTCATCGCAAGCAATCTCCAAAAGCTGTAGATGGTTCTCACACAAACTGGTTTTTTTTAAGGCTACCAGGCTACAGTGGCCATCAGGATATCTAGAGGCTGCTGTCACAGTCACGCTAATGTCCTCACTTTGAGTTTTCGATTGTTTTCTAACTCCCTTGAGGAAAAATGTATTCTGACCTCAATGGGACTTTCTGTTTAAATAAAGGTTAAATAAATGTCCCTGTTCCCTTGTTCTTACAGACTGCAGAGAATGCCCTGGCCAACCTGAAGAGTAAGTATGAGAATGAGAAGCACATGGTGACAGACACCATGATGAAGCTGAGGAACGAGCTGAAGGCCCTGAAGGAGGACGCTGCCACCTTCTCATCGCTCAGAGCCATGTTCGCCACCAGGTGACTATTTCTCTCCTCTCTCTCTCCCTTCATCTCTTTCTTTTATTGACTTCTTATTGTTCACTACCAGGTGAGAGACCAGGGGAGACCAGGGACAGCTTGTTAAAGGGATAGACTAGTTCTACATCCTACCCTTACTATTTCTACCCCGCTCTCTCCATTATTCTCTCTCTCTCTCTCCCTCTCTCTCTCTCTCTCTCTTCTCTACTTCTTATCCTGTTATTTCTTCTGAACCTATCTCCACCTACACTGTGTAACCAAAACTTTTGTTTTTTGTAAGCACCCAACCCCTCTCCTTGAAACTTCTCAGGTGTGACGAGTATGTGACTCAGCTGGATGAGATGCAGAGGCAGCTGGCTGCGGCGGAGGACGAGAAGAAGACTCTCAACTCCCTCCTGCGTATGGCCATCCAGCAGAAGCTAGCCCTGACCCAGCGCCTGGAGGACCTAGCCTTCGACCAGGAGCAGTCGCACCGCACCCGCGGCGGCAAGGTGGCCCGCATGAAGAGCAGCACTCCCAAAGTAAGTCCCGGTCCTCCGTCAAGCCCCACCACCGGCGCTGGCGCCCCCTTAAGTCCAATCTCTGCTACTACAGACGGCCTAGCCCTGGGCTCCCCTACGTCACATCATAGACACCCCCTCAGCCCCTCCTCCACGGCCCCCTCAGGCCCCACAGTACCAGGCAGCCCCCCCTCCCTGGAGGAGCCCTCCTCCTCCTGGACCCCCCCATCCACCCCCCACATGCTGGCTCACTCCCAGTGGGCCCTGGGTGTCCGGACATTCGAGGTCGACTCCCACAGTTTCAGTCTAGACACCCATAGTTTTAGTTTAGCACGTAGCACTACTGGGCTCTCCAGGCATTACTCCTCAGACTCACGGCCGTCTCCTAGCAGGGGTGCTCAGCCTGGCTCGGCCCCCTCCTCCCCCTACCGTTCTCCCATACTGGGGTCTCGCCGGTTGACGTGGAGCTCCCCTCGAACTCGCCCCCTTACCAACCTGACACGTACCTCAGCCCTTTATATCCCCTCTTCTTACACCCCTCCTAGTTCCTATATCCCTTCTAGTTCTTACACCCCTCCTAGTTCCTATATCCCTTCTAGTTCTTACACCCCTTCCTCCCCTTATACCCCCTCCAGTTCCTATACCCCTTCATCTGCTCATTACTCCCCTTCATCATATACCCCACCCTCTTCATACACCCCCCACACTTCATATAGCCACATCAGCAGCTACAGTCCACTCTACCCTAGGTACTATGGTTCCCATCGGCCCCCTCACTGACACTAAACTACAGTTCCCATAAACCTCCTCACTGACAACACTACAAATCTCATGAGTCCCCTCTCTAAACAGAACTACAGATTCCATCGGCCCCTTCAGACGCTAAACTACAATTCCCATCAACCTCCTCACTGACACTACTACAAATCCCATCAGCCTCTTCAATGACACTAAACTACATTTCCCATCAGCCCCTGGGGGAGTGGGTGGGGCTCACAGAGAGGAGGACAGACTGGTTTCCTGTTTCTTGTGCCTAAGCCTCTGGCCTCGATGCAGCATGTGGATGTGGCTCTGTATTGGCGTGAATGTTCAGACTGACTTTCCTCAGGGATTTAACACAACATGGAGCACAAGTGGCCCTGCCTTCCTCTTATTCACAGACTGTTGATCGGTCGAAACTACAGGAGAGACAGGACACTTTACAGACCATACATACACAGTAGTTTTGGTCTTGCCCTTTAAATCAAATCACCATCCACACAAGCGAATGAATATGTGTGCAGGACCTTACCGCTGTATGGAAAGACAGATGAGAAGGACATTTAGGTTAACTGGACATTTGAAGGAATTTTTTCACGTTGGACTGAGGTCTCGACAGATCAACCACTTACTTGACAGTGTTATTCTCTCTCTCTGTTTTTAATGAAAATCACACATACTGTAACCAAATGTCATTCAAAGCAAGTATTGGATAAGACCGATAAATGATTATGGATTGTTTGCTATTTTTAATTGTTCAGTTATTACTCACAGCTCTGTACACACTGTCCTCACAATGTTAATGCGGTCATCCTCACATCTGCTGTGTAAGCACTGGCACATCTTTAGTCTAGCACCACCCAATGGCAGTTTGTAATATCACCATTTATTTAGGACTTAAGAGACTGAAGACTTACGTCGAGGTTGAAGATCATATTAAACCTGTAACATAAATTACCTGGAATCAGCACACCATGATGGTTTTAATGTTAGCATTATGAGACAGAGCGAGCTAGGTGATTCTGGGTTTCATATCAGTAGGCGAGACAGACAGTGAGCTGTAGCTACACAGCACCCCTAGTGCCTCGGAGGGTAACTCCAGAGGAACACAGCAGCATAGATGGATGAATGTAATAGATAGAAACTCACTTACCACCAAACTCAGGGAAGCTGACACACACACCAACTGGGGTTCAACAAGAATGTATTGTTAACCAGAATTATCATTACACTGTTATAGAAATATAGACAAACATTTGAATGACATTTAGGCTATGGGTTAGTTAGCATAGAGCTACTGTATGATGCATAGATGGGATTTCACAGTTTCTGCACACATGATAGTGTGTCACCTGTGTATGTGTGTGCCTTGACAACTACAGCACCTGCTCAGTACAACGACAATGACTGATAAGACATGATTTCTATCAACTCACGTATTTTCTTTAAGAACTATTTTTTTCATGCCAACGACAACAGTTTGACATTGTTTTTTGTTTTTTGGCCCTATCCCATAGGTTAGAATGGACAATAACAAAGCCTTGCCAAATGATCAGCATTAGTGTCTGTAGACAGTGCTCTTGATGAGGGATACACTGCTACTGGGTGTTAGCCAGTGAGTAGGCTTTGCCAACTTTGGCCCAATCCATGCACAGTTCGGTTTAGACAGGAAAAACTAAGGGGATGTGGCTGATGTGCAAACCGATATTAAATTTTTGAATTGGTTAAAATGAGGTTAAGGTTATGAGTTTGGTTAAGGTTACAGTTATGATAAGGGTCAGTTATAGATTTTGGCTAGTTGGGCTGTCAATGGGATACTGGTCAGAAAAGTATCCTTAGTCTCTCCCAGTTTTGACCCCCCTCTCTAGTATTGGCCCAGTCCAGTTTCCCCCCCCCCCCCCCCCCCCCCCACCAGTTCCAAGTTTGGAGCCCAGTGTACCACAAAAACACTGTGTGTTTATACTCTAACAATCCCAGTCTCCATTGGTTCAAGTGAGCAAAAAACGCATTTGACAGGACTCCTCTCAGCTACTTTGTTGACACCGTTAGGTGACATTTACATATTTTTCATAACAGAAATACTCACTGTTCTTGCACTCATTGTTGGGCTGATTGAGCTGGTTGAATGTTTTTTCCAATAGTCATCTAATGGTGAATGTACAGAAACACAATCAAGACTGTAGATTTGGCGTGGGAACCACCTCAGTGACAAGTTTTATACAAGGAGTTTGTATTACGCTACTTTATTTATTACACTTTATCACGTTAGCGATTACTGTACATGTGTATGACTCTGTCCCATTCTCTATCTTATACACCAGCACCATCTACCTGCCTTGGCACAACACTGTATGCCTGTTACTTTGATAAGAACACCTTTGTAGTTGTAGGTTATAATATGGAACATTTCCATCAGATGGTAAATGAGCTGGATATAGATATTTTCTGCAATGAGGGAATGAAAAGGGAAGGATTGTCAAATATCAAATAGATGCTAGGGGTCGCTGTCTTAGCTTCTCAAGAAAGGAAACCAGTGTGACCTCCTCTCTGTGAAACCCTCCTCACTCCACCCAACTCTCACTCAAATATATACACACACACACACACACACACACACACACCAAACTCATTAGTTTTAGGTCCCGCTACATCACAATTCCATCCGTACATGCAAGAGGATCTCAGTCCTGTCAAATGCGTTGTTCGTCCTTCCCCTTTCAGATGTATTCGTTTCCCACCACATCTATTTGCCAGTGATTTCTCCCTCTGTGAATACAGTGAATGCAATTTTCCTCTTCTGCTCTCTGTTTCAGGAGTCTTTCATAATGTGAAAAATTGTCAATCTAAACACCCTTGCCTGTGCTAAAGCCATTTCCATTTCCAGGCAGACTGTTAATAGTTACCACTGATTGTCAGCCTGTTAGCTTTTGAGCACTTTATATGCATGTGTATATAACACTGAGGATTGGAAAGCTGTTTCCTGTGTACAGTGCTATGTTCATACTCTTCGTATATACTCTAAATATCATGTATAAATTACCTGAATTTTGTGTGTCGTCGTCCTTTCTGTTTTGAGTGTTCTTGAACATCTCTCTCGTGTTCTCCTCTCATGGGTTGGGGAAGAATGCCTTGTCATCTTAGTTTCATGAAGTAGCTGTCATGTGTTCCACTCAGATATGCATAGGCCTACTTTACACAACCTGCTCAGTTATTGCACAAGCATACAGGGATTCATCATTGGAAGCTGTAAGCATACATTCCATTGAACAGTACAATATATCAAATACATTAGTTGTTAGGCATTTGAGAATATTTAAGAATAGAAACATTCTTGCAGAAAATGTGTAACTGAATGTGCTTCTTGAAAACGCTGATATTGGGGGGATTTTCTTGGTAAGTACTCTGTATCTTTCCCTTGCTGTATATGATCATATGTGATGTCCCCTACTCTCCATCCATGTCACCTCTCTCTACAGTACTGTCTCTCCATCTAATCTGTCAGTCTCTCATAGATCGTCAGAAGTCTGCTGCCACAGTGCCACCCGTCTCCTCACAGCTAAGGTGGGAGAAGGCCTCCCAAGCTAGCAGGTAAACAACTTAGACCAGGCTAAAACTAGCCTGAGTACCAGTCTGTTTGTGCTATCATGCCAACTCCTCACTCATTATCATGCCACAAAGCAAAAGCAATGAGTTGGCAAGAGTGCAAACAGATCTGGGACCAGGCTAAAACTCTCCTTTTGACTGAAACGTTGCACGTGTTTACAGTATATGTTAATTTTTTCTATTTAATTTTGCTTGTACAGTATAGCCAGGGTACAGCATCAGGAAATCAATCCTGTGTGTTTTGGGTGTGTGTGAGTTTTTATGCCTTTCTTGACCTACCATGAACACTATAAATGAGTCCATTTTAAATCATAATTGATATATCCTTTTGTCTGAGTGATCGAGGTAGATATCTGAGATCTTTGTCAGGTACAGTGTGTCTCCTGTTATCTCCTCTTCCTCTTGTCTTCTGGTTGTCTCTGGTCGTGCTCCTCCCAGACGTAGCATTGTGTCAGCTATCCAGGAGCACCGAGCTCACTGGCCCCTGAGCAGCAACAGCAGCAGCCCCCACGAGTGCCTCTCCTCTGGCTCGCCCAGCCGCCTTGTCCCCCTGGTCCTCTATAACCCTGGAACTACTACACCCTGACCTCTAACCCCATCACAGGACTCTGCAGAGCAAAGCCGGAGCAGTGCGTCTCACTGTGGAAGAGAAAGACGACACTCACAAAGACTTATAAAAGACTGTCTGACTGAAAAGAGCGACATGCCGCCATCTTTACTACCGAGCTAGCTATTAGTCATTATTCATCATGTATTTGTCTATGGTGTTTTGGGGGTTGTTGAAACATACTTTTATGTTACGACCAGTGATTATCATTTTGTTGGGTTCAAGAGTTGGACAACTGTTGGGTTTTGCTGAATGTATAGCTAGCTGTACAATCATTAATGGCACCATACAGTATGTAGCGAATGCCAAGGTGGCAGAGGACAAAGCCATAACTGTGTATTTGAAATGCATGTAAAAGGTATTAGCTTTCACAAACACAGATTGTTTAAGTCATTTTCTGCTCTTTTTGGATTCGGTTCATCGCTTGTCCCACCCCTCACCAAGATTGTAGCTTGTTTTTTTATATTCTATGCTTTAAAACCACTTTGCTCACACAGCTACGGTATATGTAAATGTTTCTATTGCACTTTGTTTTACAGGATAAGAGATTTCCAAACATTGTAAAGGCTGACAGTGTTTTGTACCATCATCCTCCTTCCTTGGTTCTACAGTATCTATGTTGAAACATCATCTTTGTACCAAATGACATCATATTCCCTAAAGTAGTGCACTACATAGGGAATAGGGTGCCATTTGGAACGTACTTTTCGTCAAGCTATTTCTCTGAAGGACTGAATCAACCTCCTGAATAACAAGCACAAACTGACCAATGCATTCCAATACTAGTTGTGATCGACTGTTAACTTCACTGGGTTAAATCCTGATGTTGAAAGTAGATCTCGATCCAAGATTGCCTCTTGTTTTCTACATACTGTATATGGAAGTAACCACGCTGGATCGGCGTGTAGACAGATTTAGCTATAGAATAGTAGTACTAGTAGCGCTGTATGGTAGTAATAGTAGAGGTAGTTGGCAGTTTATACTGTACTGTATTAAACCATGATGCTATGTATCCTAACCTAGAAATACCAATTTGGATCTTTTCTCAAACCACCACTCAGCAACTTTTAACCATCTATATAAAACGTCCACTCACAGTCACAACTCATAGGCATGGCAATGGGATGTATTCACACACTTCAACCTGGCTTTAGACTGAACATTCTGTTTCTACAGGATCTCTGACCATTACTGTGGTTGCTAACTACAGTAAGGTTTAAAAAATGTTGGGTTTTGTCATCCTTTTGTGTTATTCTGGTGAATGCTGTCTGTCTGCTCCATTCCCTCCATCTATTACAACTGGAAGCCATGTAACAAACTGCCAAAGATCCCACTAGGCTTCTCAGACATCACATGAAGCAGATGAAGGAGAGGGAAGGGGTTTTGTGTAACCAGCCGGAGACTGTATTAACCCACAGAGCTAAAGCCCTAGGCATTCGTTTGGGAGAGCAAACTGTCTTTGGAGCCCAATGGCAAGAGGAAGGGATATCTTGTCAGTTGCACAATTGAATGCATTCAACTGAAATTTGTCTTCCACATCTGTTTAGTGGATGGCACAGTTAAGTCACAATGTCTCCTCAATAATGAGGATATCAGGAGTATTCTGTATGTTGTAACACTGTGGGTCACTATCTATTTTCCCCACCATATGAATTTCTCATTTATCTGAAGGTATCTTTAAACTCATCAGATGGTTCAAAGACCATTGAAGGTGTACATAGGCCAACTGTACATACAGTAAGCTACGGAGAAAATTATGAATGTCGCTAGCTACTTTTTCCGGACCTGGAGAGTGTATAGGAGACAGAGAAAAAAGCTGAAGCACTGAACGTGTGTCCCATAATACAGTTTAACGGACTGCTTTGCACAATTTCAACACTACTCGACAACTCAATAAAAACCATTAGACATTCAGACAGCAATATATAAATGTGTGGTATCATTCAAATCATTTGTATTGCATATTAAACCATGTAAAGCCTACATTTCAAAAGACAATAAATTCCCCCTAATCGTATAGGGGCCTGCTAAACACTTTTGTATCTTTTTGTAAAACTTTACCATCAAAACCTTTAGAAAAATGGTCTACAGTATTGGAGTTTCCTCCACCAATAGGCTCGGGCAGAGGGTTTATAAAACGGGGGCGGTATTTGTACCATTGTTAAGATCTATCGGATTCGACTTCACTGATGTAGATTCATGGAATGTGGGAATAGGTATTGGAATTTTTGGAATTTGTTACGCATATTTACGTTTTTGTTGGAGGATCCGATCTCTATTCACGCTCAAGGGAACAATCAGTGGTATAAAGGGTATTATTATAAATAATATTACCATGTTTGACGGTGACCTGATGAAGATGGAGAGTGAGAAGACCACTCCTGGTGAGACGGAGGAGTTTAGGCGGACGGCGGTGAGGAGAAAGTCGAAGGGAGTACCGCCGGAGACGGAAGGTCAGCCTTATCAAACTGCAGTTGATTTTGGAAACTTTTGGAAATGTTGAGTGAGTGCGTCAGCGCAAATAGAACTCATTGGACAGATTTCAAATGTATCCTACTATAGCCTATGTTGTGTGTGTTTTTTGCAATGCATGTTATGATACATTTAACTAATTTTTAGCAGAATAGTGGAGATGGATCCTCTGTGGCTCCTGATCCGAAGTCATATTTTGAGGAAACAGGGATGGCAAGGTAAAGAAGATGCCAACAGCCAAGTCATCTTTAGATAGAAAGTCTGACCAGAGGCAAACACTTTTGTGTTTGCATGGACGAGGTTTGCATGTCATTGAGGAGCCCAATCTAATGCTGTAGGAACTAAACTCAGCAAAAAAAGAAACGTCCTCTTACTGTCAACTGCGTTTATTTTCAGCAAACTTAACATGTGTAAATATTTGTATGAACATAACAAGATTCAACAACTGAGACATAACCTGAACAAGTTCCAAAGACATGTGACTAACATAAATTGAATAATGTGTCCCTGAACAATGGGGGGATCCAAATCAAAAGTAACAGTCAGTATCTGGTGTGGCCACCAGCTGCATTAAGTACTGCAGTGCATCTCCTCCTCATGGACTGCACCAGATTTGCCAGTTCTTGCTTTGAGATGTTACCCCACTCTTCCACCAAGGCACCAAACACAAGTTAAATACACACTGGGCAGAGGGGTACAATGGTTAAAGGGGCAATCTGCAGTTCAAACAACAGAGGTCACCCCGCTAATGTTCCTGCTGAGGAATGGGGGTGGAGAAGTGCAACCATTCTCACATTCATAGACCGAGCTATGGATGCAAAGACTGACCATCCGCTAGACCAAAATGTAAAAAATTTGAGGTGATAGTGTTTGTTTACAATTACATTGTTCACAAACAACGGAGAAAAACAAGCCTACATTTTGGGTTCCGTCGGGTTAAGACTGTTGAACCAAGCTCATGAGGCATCTACAAGTTACATTCTTCAAGAATCAATTGGGACAGATCACCAATATCAAAGTCCAAAAATGGATGTAGCAAACACAGATTTCCCCTCCAACCAATAAGTCAAAGGGGTGTCGATTACAGATTGATTTAATAAGTATGCCATCAGAGGATGGACTGTTTAAAGTATATTAACTTCCTCATACCCTTACTGTATGTCACTGTGGCAGGTGTCCAATCTCCCTCTTACTAGATCTCTCGCTCTCCCTCAGTATTGAGCAGCAGTGTATGTGGCTCTGTGTATAGTACTGTATCTGTGGGAGCACCATTACCAGAAATGGAGGTCAATGGAAAGAGCCCTGTCAAGAAATCCCCACTCAAACCACAAAGTACAGTACAGGGACTGAGAGGAGTGTGGTTGGTTTTACATGTGGTGTTAAAATACCACTACAAATGCCCAGTACACAGCACTGCAAGATAAATGTAGCCTGATCCTAAATCTGTTTGTGCTGTTTTGCCAACTTCTATGGTCATTGTCATGCAAATAGGAGTTGGCAAGACAGCACAAATATACTGAACAAAAATATAAACGCAACATGCAACAATTTCAAAGGTTTTACTGAGTTACAGTTCATATAAAGTAATCAGTCAATTGAAATCAATTCACAACCCCCCGGTTGTGAGGCCGTTTGGAAGTACTGCCAAATTCTCTAAAACGACGTTGGAGGCAGTTTATGGTAGAGAAATTAACATTAAATTCTCTGGCAACAGCTCTGGTGGACATTCCTGCAGTCAGGGTGCCAATTGCATGCTCCCTCAACTTGAGACATGTGGCATTGTGTTGTGTGACACAACTGCCCATTTTAAAGTGCCTTCTATTATCCCAGCACATTGTGCACCTGTGTAATGATCATGCTGTTTAATCAGCTTCTTGATATGCCACACCTGTCAGGTGGATGGATTATCTTGGCAAAGGAGAAACGCTCACTAACAGGGATATAAACAAATTCGTGCATAGAATTGTAGAGAAATAAGCTTTTTGTGCGTATGGAAAAGTTCTGGGATTTTTTGTAAATTTAAGCTCATGAAACATGGGACTAATACTTTACATGTTGCATTTATGTTTTTGTTCTGAAACCAGGCTAGGATAGATCTCTTACTCGGCCTCTCCCTCCTCCCGCCCTGTCTCCAGTGTCTCCTAAACCTGCCCATCTCCAGAGCCCTGGGAAGAGCCCTGTCAAGGGGCCAGGAGAAGCTCTACTCACAGGGAAGGGATCAGGACCCCAAGGGAGGGGGCTAGCAGTCCACAGCCCAGGAAAGTGTCCTGTGACCAGGCCTAGCCACAGCCCGGTGAAGGGGGCACCACCAGGGACCCAGAGCCCAGGAAAGGGACTAGGGGTCCACAGCCCAGGAAAGCGCTCCATACAGGGGGGACTAGGATCTCAGTCCCCAGGGAAGGGCGTAAGATCCAGGCTGAACCAGCTGAGAAGCCCTGGGGCCAGGATGAAGAGACATGGACTGATTGCAGGATCGCCCTGCCGCCTGCCTGACCTCATCATTCACCTTGAGGGAAACCAGTCTGTGCTCAGATCAGCTAACAGCAGCCCAACACATACCACGTCCTCTATAAGCCTGGACCAGCCTACAGACCCAGACAGTGGGTCTGCCTCCAGCTCCCACACAGGACTGGATGCTCACAGACACAGTCCAGACAGGGCAGTAGTAGTGACCCATAGGGAGGGCAGAGCGAGGGAAATCTCTCCCATAAATATGAATGGGTTGGACCTGATGAGGGACGCTGTACTGGTCAATGGCCATGTAGGAGACGGAGGGAAGGTGGATACAGGGCTCAACGTGGAGCTGTCCCCCTCTCACAGAACTGAGACTGGGATGGAGAAGGCCAAGCTTCAGGAGAGCTCTACAGATGATAAGAAGATGGAGAGTGGGAGTGAGGAGGTGAAGGTGCAGGACTCCACTGAACAGAAGCTGTATAAGATCGCCAATGAGCTTCTACAGACAGAGAGGGCCTATGTTGCTCGCCTTCACCTGCTAGACCAGGTCAGTGTGTCACTGTCTACCTCATTGTTTCTGTTCATTCACTGTAGTTATCACCACATGACTTGATCAGTATGTATTGATTAGCAGTGTTTTAACACTGAGTGTGTGTGTGCAGGTGTTCTGTGCACGGCTTACTGAGGCCGGTAGAGGCTTGTTCCCTGTAGATGTGGTGAGGACAATCTTCTCCAACATCTCCTCCATCCACACCTTCCACAGCCAGTTCCTACTGCCAGACCTGGAGACACACATGGACCAATGGTGAGACAACCCAAGTAGATGATGCAATTGAAGTACTTATCTACAATGGAACTGAAGGACATGATTGGATTGGAACCTTTTTTATTCAATGAAAAATATGGTTTTATTTTATGACATTCATCCAGCCTAACAAAGACCACAGTGGTTATAATATTCCTACATTAAATCTCTTAGCATCATATCTAAACAGTGATTTAAATAATCTTTTTTTACCTTTGATCACCGACCCTTGACCCTGCAGGTCTGTGAGTCCTCGTCTGGGTGATGTCATGCAGCAGCATGCTCCCTTCCTCAGGATGTATGCTGAGTACGTGATGAGCTTCGACCATGCCATGGAGCTGCTTAGAGTCTGGACGGAGAGGTCCACACCATTCAGGAACGTCATACAGGACATTCAGGTATGGTGGCTGGGCAGGGACACAGAGTAAATCTCTGTTCACACTTTACGGAATATCTTATTCATTCTCTTAATCTTAATTTCACTATTCACCCAAAGAAAACCAATAGGTGCTAACTTTGCAGTGGTGAAAACATTTAGTCAATCTTAACCTGTTGTTGATTTGCGTTATCTTCCAGAGTCAGGCGGTGTGTGGTAGTCTGACCCTGCAACACCACATGTTGGAGCCGGTCCAGAGAGTACCTCGTTATGAGATGCTGCTGAGAGACTACCTCAAGAGACTGCCTGATGATGACTCAGACCACAGCCATGCAGAGAGTGAGTTGACACCTGCCTTACTGATATAGAAATAAAAATATATACAGGTTAAAAGTAATGACTAAATGTTCCACCCTTAAATATAGTTGTGAAATGTTCTTGTTTTAAGTATGATTAGTACTTTCTTAGTAGTGACTAATTATTACGCTCCGAAACTGTGTGAGATGTGTTAGAATCTACTACATGGTAATGTGTGAGTGTAGGACCAGTAAAGATTATGACATTGTGTTACTATTTAGCAATGTGAGTAAGAGTTAGGCCAGACAACAAAGGACAAGGAGAACTGTCTACAGACAACTGAGAAACCAAGATAAAGAGGCCTCCAAATTTAGGGAGGAGAGAGACTATGATAAGAACGTGTGTGTGTGTGTGTGTGTGTGTGTGTGTGTGACCTGATGGTCAGGAGAGCAATTTTCAAGTGGAAAACTACAACCCGCCTAAAGGGATTTTTGTATGATGTGTGTGTATAAAAGATGGACTCTGAAATTGTGATAACAGAATTCTCAATGAATAATGGCCTGACTATGCAGACTGGGAGCTCTGTCCGTTTCTTGATCCAAAAGCCTTACAACCTTTTGGGAGACGCACAGAGACACTGAAATAGTTTGTTAAATGATTCTCATAACACTTACTTACTGTACCATAGACATAGTCCAACATACAGTAGCTCCACAAACGCCAGCCTCACTCTTACTGTAGCTGAGATCAGGTAGTCCTCATCGCTAGCTAAGACTCACGCAGTGTCATCACAGTAACCGTCACAGAAACCATAATAGATGAGGTTTTGTGGTTTTGCTATTCTTTATAAAAAATAAAATAAGGTGTTGATCTCTTTGTCTGCCTTCAGAGTCTCTGCAGGTCATCTCCATGGCAGCAACACACTCCAACAGCGCCATCCGCAAATCGGTACGTGCAGAACTAATATGCTAATCCTCTACTTACTGCAGATAACAGTTGTCAGTACAGTATATCTAGAGACCCATTTCTCTTTTGTCATAGAGAGTAAAATATTACTACGCTTAACTACTGTCATCTGTACTTTGTTCATTTTCTATTGGTTGGGACAGACGTTTGTGATATGCTCTGTTGTCTAACATCCTCTGTTCTGCTGTGTTGTCCTCTAGGAGAACCGGAAGAAGCTGCTGGAGATCTACGAGAGGTTGGGGGAGGAGAAGGACGTGATGAACCCCTCTAATGAGTTCATCAGGGAGGGACGCATTCTGATGCTGGCTGCCAGGAACTCCGCCATGGAGAGACACCTCTTCCTGGTTAGACCAGCTTACAATATTTTAACCTTTATTTTACCAGGAAGTCCCATTGAGGTCAGAAGACCACCTCTTTCCCAATGGAGACCTTATGTCTTTTAGGAGGACGCAACATTACATAATGTTGCTATAGAAATGTATAGTGTGGAACAGACATGATTTTCTGCTATGTATAATACGGAATTAAATCATCTCTATTCCGTCTAAATCTTGCACTTCACTGAATAGTAACCACTGAACATCCATCCATCCATTAAACCACACGGGTCAAACTCATTTCAAGGATGGCAGGATTTTCACTCCACTCTTGTACTTGATGAATTAAGGTCACTAATTAGTAAGGAACTCCCTCACCTGGTTGTCTAGGTCTTAATTGAAATGAAATAATAAACTCGCAGACACTCGGCCCTCTGTGGAATGAGTTTGACACTCCTGCATTAATGGGTCATTTAGGAGACTCTTGGTGCTCATACTTAAAACCCTCATGTCTTTCTTCCCTCTCGCTCCCTCTGCTGTCCATACAGTTCAACAACATGCTGCTGTGCTGCACTCCTCGGTTCAGCCTGGGGGGGCAGCGGTTCACCCTGCGGACACGGATTGACGTGGAGGGCATGACTGTGCAGCGCACCACCAACAAACACCACCCCCACACCTTCAAGGTGTCTGGCAAGGAGAGGACCCTGGAGAGGACCCTGGACCTACAGGCCAGGTGAGGGGAGGGGTGGATGTCGCACTAATATAACTCACCTGAAGGTCTTGGATGGATGGATATATTTTGTGTAAATGTTAACATGTGGCGTTCTCTTTGCAGCTCTGAACAAGACAAAGAGGACTGGATAAAGGTAACAGTGCTTTGTAATATTTTGAAACATGTTTGAATTACCAATGACATATAATGATTATATAGAGAGAGTACACATGGTCTAACAGGCCTTGTACTTTCAGGCTTTTCAGGACTCCATTTATGTTTTCCAGCAGAAGAATGAGACTTTTAAGTCAGCTTCTAAAGAAGTAGAGGTATCTGTAAGGATCCCTTATTTTTGTGCAAAACGGAGACCAATAGAATGTTTTCTTTCGTGCGTGTGTGTTTCTCCATCTGTACAGTATGCTCACTGTATTCATATAGAGGGATAAATCACAGGCAAAGTGGAGGGGAACTGATAATTTAGCTAAAGGGAAGGAGGAACAACTCATTTGACAGGTTTGAGATCCTCTTGCATGTATGGGTGGAAAAACCACAAAGCGAGGCTGAACTGATTTTGAGTGTGTGTCTTCACGCCTCTGTGTGTGAACAGACGGAGGAACTGGGTCGGCGTGCCCCTCGATGGATCAGGGACAATGAGGTGACCATGTGTATGAAGTGTAGCGAACCCTTCAACGCCCTCACCCGATGGAGACACCACTGCAGAGCCTGTGGCTGTGTGAGTTAACACACACACACATACATATAGATACACACACACACACACACACACACACACACACACGGATACATAACACACACTTCACATTCCCTTTACCTAAGGCTGGGGTAAGGTTATGATTAGTTGAAATAGCATTCACGTTCAGTGCTGTACTTCCATTCTTTCTAACATAACCAGCCTGTGTGTCCATCTGTTTGTCAGGTGGTGTGTTGGAGGTGTTCAGAGAACAAAGTAACTCTGGAGTACGATGGCAACAAGGTGAACAAGGTGTGTCTAGACTGCCACTCCGCCCTGACCCTCCGGGCCAACAGAGAGGGGAGGGGAGAGGGCAAGGACGGGGGGGATTTCTAGAGGTTCCACAACCCACCTCCCCATTTCCATCCCTACCCTTTTCCCAGGATGTGAAGGCCCTTTCTAGGACCCCCCTGAAGTGTCACTGATAATGGTTACGCTAGTGTCGCCAATAGAAACAGGATGGCTGTCAATGACAGCAAGGAGGCTCACTCGAACAGCCTCAGTGTTCAAACACACACTATCCCCCAGTCTCTGTACTTGTGTTCAGTGTTATGGCCTTAATGAGATCCAGTGAGCTCCACAAGTATTGGGACAGTGACACATTTGAAATGATACAATGACTATGAGGTTACAGTGCAGACTGTCACCTTTAATTTAAGGGTATTTTCATCCATATTGGGTGACACGTTTAGAAATTACAGCACTTTTTTGAACATATAAGTATTGGAACATATACGAAAGGTACAAAAGGTGCTGTCATTTCTAAATGTTGGATGAAAGTACCCTCAAATTAAAGTTGACAGTCTACACTTTAACCCAATCGTCATTGTATCATTTCAAATCCAAAGTGCTGGAGTACAAAGCCAAAATAACCAAAAATGTCACTGGCCTAATACTTTTGGAGCTCTCTGTATACCGGGTTGGCAATAAGATGTATTTTGTGTAAAAACTCTGGCGATGCAATGTAAGAGTATTCTGCCTATTCCCTATCTGGATCGGAAAGTCAATTAACTTTAGTTTGTATTTGAAATTATTTTCCTTTTGAAAAAATAAAGTTAAACTTGTTGCAAGGTGTTCATTTGAACTAGAAAATAAAAGTTTGAAACTTATCAGCTACGTTTCTTATGGTAGCAGTATGTGTTATTAAAGAAATTCTCTGATACTTTTGTATACTTTTTTTGCCAGTAGTTATGAAAATAGCACTCACAACCCAACAATGGTCCCTGAAAATTGCTTACTACATCACATGCAGATATGTGCACTACGTCATTGCTCTCTCCATTAATCCCGCCCGTGTAGGCGTGTTTTGCATCGGCTTGAAGTTGATTGCCTTCAATTTGGAACCGGGCTGCCTCCCGGGTTTGAACCAGGTGCCTCTTTCAAAGCCCACTGCGAAGTCTGCTCAAAACAAAAGTGATGTAATTAAGCAGGTGTAGTAATTACTAGGATTCTGCGTTTTCCCATGCAAAAGGATTGCTTTTGATAAAAATGCTTTTATCTGCCTTCCCAATGAGACATTTTTAGAAAATTCAAACATTTAGTTTATGGAAAAGAGATGTATGTTTCTGGACGATGCACAATGCTGCCTTGTTGACAAAATGACAGAGCTGTGCAGATTACTGTTCGATTTGAGAAGGGCGCTCCCCGCTTTCGCCCGATTATGTAAGGGGCCATAGACCGGTGCCCCGCCGGCTTATAATAATAGAATGCGCCCATTCTCTGCTGTGGCCACTAAGCCATTGGACCCGCCCTGCAACATCATTGGATAACGCTGGGCAGGCCTCTTGCTAGCTCACTCAAATGCGAGGGGCTGAAGCTCATTACCTAGAACTCAAATTGCTAGGGGGCTGGCCCTCATGTAGGGAAAATGGTGCAGCACAGCTTCAAGAAAAGTATCTTTCAATCTAGGGATTTCGTGGCTAATTGATGTAAAAAAGTAATTATTCTCAAAAATGATGCATGTATGAACTAGACATTGAACACATTCAGCCCAAAGCGGGAGGTTTAAAAAATACTTTTACCAAAGTACAGGAGCATGTCTTAGATTCCTATGGAAAAGTTCTACACATTTTATGGAGATGGAGACCTTCAACTAAATACACTACATTACCAAAGGTATGTGGACACCTGCTCGTCGAACATCTCATTCCAAATCATGGGCATTAATATGGAGTTGGTCCCCCTTTTGCTGCTATAACAGCCTCCATTCTTCTGGGAAGGCTTTCCGCTAGATGTTGGAACATTGCTGCGGGGACTTGCTTCCATTCAGCCACGAGCATCTGTGCAGGCCAGTCAAGTTCTTCCATGCCGATCTCGACAAACAATTTCTGTATAGACCTCGCTTTGTGCACAGGGACATTGTCATGCTGAAACAGGAAAGGGCCTTCCCTAAACTGTTGGAAGCACAGAATCGTCTAGAATGTCATTTTATGCTGTAGCGTTGATTTCCCTTCACTGGAACTAAGGGGCCTAGCCCGAACCATGAAAAACAGGCCCATACCATTATTTCTCCTCCACCAAACTTTACAGTTGGCACTATGCATTCGGGCAGGTAGCTTTCTCCTGGCATAGGCCAAACCAAGATTCGTCCATCGGACTGCCAGATGGTGAAGCGTGACTCGTCAGTCCAGAGAACGCATTTCTACTGCTCCAGAGTCCAATGGCAGCGAGCTTTACACCACTCCAGCCGACGCTTGGCATTTATTGTGCTGACGTTGCTTCCAGAGGCAGTTTGGAACTCTGTACTGAGTGTTGCAACCGAGGACAGACGATATTTACGCGCTTCAGCACTCGTTCAGTGAGCTTGTGTGACCTACCACTTCGCGGCTGAGCCGTTGTTGCTCCTAGAGGTTTCCACTTCACAATAACAGCACTTACAGTTGAGGGGCAGCTCTAGCAGGGCAGAAATTTGACAAACTGACTTGTTGGAAAGGTGGCATCCTATGACGGTGCCGCAATGAAAGTCATCGAGCTCTTCAGTGAGGCTATTCTACTGCCAATGTTTGTCTATGGAGATTGCATGGCTGCGTGCTCGATTTTATACACCTGTCAGCAACGTGTGTGGCTGAAATAGCCAAATCAACTAAGTTGAACGGGTGTCCAGATACTTTGTGTGTGTAAATATAGTGTTACTGGTTCAGTTCTCCCACAGCTTTTCACTGCGTCAGCTTAAAATGATCTTCAGCTCAACGTGTTTTACTTTATCAGTATCCCTGATGTTATTTTTCCCCGGTTACGTCACATTTCTCCTGCAGTGCCTAACTACATTTTGTATGTGTATAGAGAAGTGGACAGGACCACAGAATCTAGATCCTGCATTATTTCTAAAGAGTTGTCATTTCAGAATGAGGGGTGTTTTTCTGGGGCATGGGCTCAGAGTTTGATCGAGAGCCAAGGGACTGAAGCTACAGACCCAACCCACAAACAGACAGATCACCACCACCTGTGACATCTGGGATAAGCTGAAGCAGCTGAGAAACATGGTGCACATCCTGGGAACCATCGTGGTGGAGCTGAGGAACATGGTGCACATCCTGGGAACCATCGTGGTGGAGCTGAGGAACATGGTGCACATCCTGGGAACCATCGTGGTGGAGCTGAGGAACATGGTGCACATCCTGGGAACCATCGTGGTGGAGCTGAGGAACATGGAAGCCAGACTGGAAACGAAGAATGCAGGTATAGTGCATTCGGAAAGTATTCAGACCCCTTGACTTTTTCCACATTTTGTTACGTTACAGCCTCATTCTAAAATTGATAGTTTTTTCCCCTCATCAATCTACAGACCACCCCATATTGACAAAGCAAAAAGAGGTTTTAGAAATGTTTGCTAATTTATAAAAAATAAAAACTGAAATCACATTTGCATAAGTATTCAGACGCTTTACTCAGTACTTTGTTGAAGCACCTTTGGCAGCTATTACAGCCTCGAGTCTTCTTGGGTATGATGCTACAAGCTTGGCACACCTGTATTTGGGGAGTTTCTCCCATTTGTCTCTGCAGATCCGCTCAAGCTCTGTCAGGTTGGATGGGGAGCTTCGCTGCACAGCTTTTTTTCAGGTCTCTCCAGAGATGTTCAAGTCCGGGCTCTGGCTGGGCCACTCAAGGACATTCAGAGACTAGTCCCGAAGCCACTCCTGCATTGTCTTGGCTATGTGTTTAGGGTCGTTGTCCTGTTGGAAGGTGAACCATTGCCCCAGTCTGAGGTCCTGAGCACTCTGGAGCAGGTTTTAATCAAGGATCTCTCTTTACTTTGCTCCGTTCGTCTTTCCCTCGATCCTGACTAGTCTCCCAGTCCCTGCCGCTGAAAAACATCCTCACAGCATGCTGTCACCATGCTTCACTGTATGGATGGTGCCAGGTTTCCTCCAGACGTGACGCTTGGTATTCAGGCCAAAGAGTTCAATCTTGGTTTCATCAGACCAGAGAATCATGTTTCTCATGGTCTGAGAGCCTGTAGGTGCCTTTTGGCAAACTCCAAGCAGGCTGTCATGTGCCTTTTACTGAGGAGTGGCTTCCATCTGGCCATTCTACCATAAAGGCCTGATTTGATGGAGTGCTGCAGAGATGGTTATCCTTCTGGAAGGTTCTCCCATCTCCACAGAGGAACTCTGGAGCTCTGTCAGAGTGACCATCGGGTTCTTGGTCACCTCCCCCAGTTGCTCAGTTTGGCCGGGTGGCAAGCTCTAGGAAGAGTCTTGGTGGTTCTAAACTTCTTCCATTTAAGAATGATGGAGGTCACTGTGTTCTTGGGGACCTTCAATGCTGCAGAAATGTTTTGGTACCCTTCCCCAGATCTGTGCCTCGACACAATCCTGTCTCTGCGCTCTAAGGTCAATTACTTCGACCTCATGGCTTGATTTTTGCTCTGACATGCACTGTCAACTGTGGGACCTTATATAGACAGGTGTGTGCCTTTTACAAATCATGTCCAATCAATTGAATTTACCACAGGTGGACTCCAATCAAGTTGTAGAAAAATCTCAAGGATGATCAATGGAAACAGGATACACCTGAGCTCAATTTTGAGTCTCATAGCAAAGGGTCTGAATACTTATGTAAGTAATGTATTTGTTTATTTTTTAATACATTTGCTAAAATTTGTTTTCACTTTGTCATCATGGGGTATTGTGTGTAGATTTATGAGGGGGGGAAAAGTATTTAATCCATTTTAGAATATGGCTGTAACTTAACAAAATGTGGAAAAAGTCAAGGGATCTGAATAATTTCCGAATGCACTGTATGTATGAATATGGAATTTGTTTCATTATGGTATCGGTTCAGTGGAGGACAACAGCTTTTGATTGTTTGTTTGTTAAATAATTTTTTTATTC